GACCAGAGAGGTTAAGCAACCAGAGCAAGCTCACACAGCAAGCGACAGTGCTCACAGGGGGGCCTCTGGTCTCCCAACACCCAGGCCTGCACGTGCTCAGAGCAGGGCAGCCTTGGAAGTTGTTTGACAGTGGGGGGGGGCCCAGACATCAGGAGCTCAGAAGAGACCCCCAGACTTCCCCTCCTCGGGGTCACAAAGAAGAGGTTTCCTGGCACCCACCAATGCCCACACAGCATATGGGCAGGCAGAGGTAGCGAATCTACACCTGGCTCACGCCCAAAGGACATCCAGCACCTGTGACTCCCTGACTGGGTGGGCAGGCTGGGGAGTGATGTCCGGAGTTCCTGACCCTACAAACGTGGCCACAGTGCAGGGTCCAAAGGCTGGGCAGCTGGGCAGGGCAGGAGGGGCCGGCCAGGGGGCATCAGGGCAACCAAGAGACAGGAGGGAAGCTGTTCTCAGGGGAAGCCGCTCGGGCAGGAGCCCCAGTCAGACGGAGGCCGCCCAGCCCTGCGGCCTGCAGAGAGTCTGACTCCATCTCTGCACTACCACCACCCCCTCACAGGCTGGACACTGTCTGTGAGCCAGCGAGCCAGGCCAGGACTGCCAAACCACAGAGCTCAAATCACAGCCCACACAGCACTTAAGGTCCTAACCGCCAGCATGGAGGTGGAATATACCCATTTCACAGATGAGAACACAGAGGCTGCCGTGGATGGGGTCACACAGCCAGCAAATGGCAGACACCAGTCTGCTTCCGAGGCCCCGGCCAACACTACTTGCCCGTGTCTCCAAGAGTGTCGGAACCGGGAGATGCAGTCTCTCCACTTGGTTCCCGTTCACCCCAGGGCACCCCTCTCCCCTCCCCAACCCCCAACTTCCTTCCCTTCCTGCTTCCGGGCAAATCACACACCTAGTGGGGCCTGAGTCACTGCCAGTGGGCGGCCCTGGCACACACCAGGATGGGAGTATGGGGGGTGGGGTTAACTGGCGGAGCAGCCTCAGCGCACACAGCACAGCCAGCAGGGGGGCCCAGAGAACGAGCCCCAGAGAAGGCAGCCAACCAGACCCCAGCTCTGCCCCCGCTGGCTGTCCAAACCCTCGTGCCGCCCCAGCCCTGGAGAGCTCGGGTGCACTTCTTTGACGCTTACTCAATACCGTTTGAACACCTACTATGTGCCAGGCACCATCCCACACCAGTGGCTCTCAAGCAATTTCCCCCCACCCTGGGGACACTCAGCCATATCTGGAGACAGCCTGGAGTGCCGAGCCCGCTGGGCGCGCTGCCCACACCTGGGATGTAGCTTCTAAGCACCCCTCAACCACAGGACAGCCCCAAACAGACAGGCAGGCGTCGCAAACATCAACAGTGCGAGACCGAAACCCGTTCCAGGCGGCGGGTCTACACCAGCGGATGAGCTCCTGTCCTGACTGTGTTTACATTCCAGGGAGGAGGCGATACAAGTAACGGGATAGCCGGGCGCGAGTACTGCACAGGCAAACCAAGCAGAGGGGTGGAGGGCGGCTGGCAGGCGGCTTCCACAGGCCCGGTGCTCCGTCTGATCGGAGGGAAGTGAGAAAATGAGCCGAGGGGATTCTCAGTGGGAGGAGCTTTCAAGGCAAAGGGGAAAGCCAGTGCAAAGGCCCCGAGGCAGGTGTGCGCGCCGTGCATTTGAGGAACAGGAAAGCAGGCAGCTTGGCATCAAAGTGAAACACGGCTGATGTGTAGAGTTGACTAGAGCGCGCGCACACACACACACACACACGCCACGGCTGGCGCAAAACTCCTCCCCTCCCCCACACAACCATCCTGCTACGCCTCTAGAAACATCAGATGGGGAGGACCAGAAAGCATCACCCAGCCCTGGAGAGTGGCAGTGCCGTGGGAAGCCACTGGACAACGGCCACAGAACACCAGGCAGGGTCTCAGCCTGTCGCACCTGCCGAGCCCTGTGCACAGGGAAGCCGGGGACGCTCTCGACGTCAGCCACTGGGAAAACAGAGGCTCGGTACACTGGCCCCGAGGTCAGGGGGCAGCGGGGGCCGAGCCAAGTCAGCAAGAGCCGACAGCTGCTTGGCAGGGAGGTTGCGGGAAGCCTGGAGCCAGGCAGAGGCCATGCCGGCGTCCCCAGAGCCAGGCACCGGGCTGGACTTGCCGTAGGTGCCCACAAGCACTGGAGGAACGAGTGACCCATGAGTGACCTGGCATCGGCATGCCTGGCCACCTGCTCGCTGCCCCACCCCCAGGCCACAGCCGAGGTCAGCACACAGGATGCCCGCTGGGCATCAGGCAGGGGGCATAGAGAGAGGGATGTGATGGAGGACAGACGAGCCCCCAGGGCCAGCAGCTACCCCACCCGATAGCCAGCCTGGGAGCCCCTGGATGATGCTGTTAGGGTCCGAAAACGCCCACCGCCTGAGGAACAACTCCAAGAGACTTTCTCTCATGCAACCAGCAAAGGGTTAAAGATGTATCGATCCAACATGTTGGGGCTGTCTGAACTTACAAGAACAGAGGAGCCTCGAGGAACTAAAGTATAGGGTTTATAAAGCCAAAAACCACAAAATCAGGAGAGGGGAGAGAATACACGGTTGCTAAGTGGTTGCTAAAATCTTACAATCAGCAATTATGATCTTAAGACAGACAAATCACATCTTCATTATTAGCCCAGGTAACCCAGGTGCAACCTTTCTACTTTTAAGCTTGAGCAATCATGCTAGGGGGTTTCTGTGCTCTGCCAAGGGTGATGCAGTGCCCTGCTATTGTCCGACTACTTGAGATCATAGTTTCAGACCAGAGTCTCACGGTGGGGGGGTTGCTTTCCCAGAATGGAGTCTCAAGTGCCCCAAAATGGAGTCCCTACTGTCAAGGGGCTACTTCAATGTAGCCCCTGGGCCCCAGGACCTGTAGGGGTCCCAGTCAGCAGGCAGAGCCCCCTCAGCCTCCTGCACGGCCAGGGCCCTGCCCATGCCCATCCCACCAGCTTCCCCAGCATTTACTGATGGACGCATGAAGGACGCAGATAGAGCGGTAAAAGGCACAGAGGCCCCAGGGCAAGCTGGATCTGCTGCACCTGCCACCAGGCCACTCCTCCCTGGGGCTCCTTCTGCAGCTCAGTCAGGTGATGCCAACAGCACTGTGTACCTGCTGCCTGGAGGGGCTGCTGGGGGCAGCAGTGGGGACTCGGAGGGGACACGGGGTGGGGGCGGGGCGTGGTAAAAAGAGCTGTGGAATCCAGCAGACCTGAATTCAAGTCCCAGCTCCAGGATCCTGGGCTGTCAGACCTGTGTCCGCGTCTCTAAACGGGAGCAGCACCACCCAGCTCTCTGGAGAGGCAGGTTTCAATGGCAGAGTCCCTAGTGCAGTGCCTGACACTGAACACGGGTTATTGTGGTGCTGGTCCCAGGGAGGAGGAGGAGAAACCCACAGTCCCTCCCCTAGGGGGTCTTCCACCCTTTGAGGGGGATGCGACACGACCAGACTACGAAGCAGAACTCCGTCTGTCCTTGGAAGGACACAGTGCTCTGATGGTTCCAAGGAGGGCTCCCGTCCCGACTTTCCCACAGAGGCTTGGGCAAAGGCCACAAAGAACGGGCTAGGGGGCGCGCTGTGAAGAGGGCACAGTGCGGGCAAAGGCAGGGGCCACAGGTGCACGACGACCCCCAGCCGGGAGGACGCAGGCAGATGTCTCATCCTGGCCCCAGACACCTGCGGCAGTCTGCACCCGTCACAGGGACCACGGAAGGCCTCCCAGGCCAGCAGGAGGTGCTCTGGGCTTGGGTCTCTCTGGAGAGCCACCAAGGGTTACGGCACCCGTGCTGGTGGGAGGGACTCTGGGCTGACCTGGAGCTGGCAGGGGGAGGGGGGAACCCCTCAAGCAACCAGAACCATGGCCAGGTGCCCATGGCTGTCCCCTTGCAGCCTCTGGGGGGTGGCCGGGGCCCCAGCTTGGCAGCAGATGGCCTCCTGCCGTGAGGCTGGGACCACAGCAATGTGTTCACTCTGCGTCCCCAAAGCCGGACTGTCACACAGGCCACCCGGGACCTCCCCTGGGGTGGCGCCCACGCCGACTGTGGTCTGACAGCACCCCTCAACCAGCCCCCAGATGTTTTGACTTTGGAACACCAAGTCACCTCCCACCAGCCCGCCCCCGCCCCCCCCCGCCCCGGGACGGCTCAGCCACCTTGTGTCCATCAGGGCAGGCTCAAGAAAGGACGGACGCACGCGGCCTCCCCAGCCGCGGGGAAGAGGAGACGTTCCTTTTGGAGGGAGAGCTAACCCCATGCTCTTCCATAGCTCCCAAGTTCTCCGAGCCTTGGCGCTCCTTTTCTATAAAATGGGGCACTCACATGTCACCAGACCACGCAGGCAGTCAACAAATCACAATGAACAAAGGCGAAAGACCCACGGTCTCTTTGCACTGTTGGCCTTGGCAGGAAGGGTGGCAGGGCCGTTGGCCCAGAGACCGAGTCACTGCTCCGTTTTCCTGGGGCCGTGCAGACCGCCTCTGCCTGGCGCTGGGGCCCCCTACTGCAGAGCACCCGAGGACAGACCGGGACACATTGTTAGGACGCGGGCAAAGCGGGAGGCGAGACGGCTCGCACCCCCACGGCATCTAATTAGGCGCTCACTGCACACCTTGCCCGGCTCTTCCAGGCGCGCGGGCGTGCGGTTTCTAAGACACAGGAAAACCGTGACCGGTGGGCCACGGCCCCGACCCCGCGGGCGGGCGGCACGGAAGCACGGGCCGGCAGGTGCGGCGGGCGCGGAGCTGGGGGCTGGGGGCCGGGGCGGCCTGGGGTCTAGCGGGGTTCTTCCCCCCCAATCCCCGCGGTGCTCGTGAAGGAACCCGGGGTGCGCCCCGGGCTCCCAGGGCCGCGGGGCCCAAGTCTCACCCCGGGCGCGCAGGGGCAAGGCCAGAGGTCCCCAGTGGATCCCTAGGGGCACGCCGTGCGCATCTGGGGGGAACGAGGGGCTGCGCACCAGCGGGGTGTCCCACCTGGGCGGGCACGGTGTGCCCGGAAGCCCAGAGCTGCAGTCCGACGGCCAGCGCGGCCCAGAGCGTGGCGGGCGCCATGGGTGCAGGAGGCGGCGGCCGAGCACGGCGGAGTCCGGCGGTCCCTGGCCCCGGCGCTCCGGCGCCGTCTCTCCCCGCTCGTTGCGCTCCGACGCCTTCAACTGAAAAAGAAAGCGGGCGCCGGCTGCTAGCTGGCTCTCAGGCGGCGGGGCGGAGCCTGCCGCCGGCCTCCCGGACACGCCCCCGGCCCGGCCCGCGGCTGTGGGCCCTGCACCTGGACGTCAGTTCCAGCTCCTTGCTAATGCGCCTGGGAAAAGCAGCGGAAAATGGTCCAAGCGCCTGAGCCCTTGCACCCACGAGGACCCCGTGGAGTTCCAGGCTTCTGGCTTCAGCCAGGCTCAGCCCCGGCCCTCACGGAAGATCTTTCTCTCTCTCTCCCTTTCTCTGTAACTAACTCTGCCTTTCAAATAGGTTAAAAAAAAAAAAAAAAAAAAAAAAAAAAAAAGCATATGTGTGCAAAAAATTTTGTAGCCCACATATCATTTTCTCATACTATGTATTTTTCATGAGCTTGGTAATTACTTAATACTTATTTAATAAGTGTTACATAAGAATTAGCTGTTACTAATATTTTCCATTTATTTATTTGCTGAGAACATTCCTCGAGTCCTACCCTGTGCTGCCCAGGTAGCTGGTAGGTAAACCAAGGCTGGGAGAGAACGCCGTCCGGGACACCGTGGGTGCCTGGAAGGGGCTGGCTGGGGCCAAGGCCGGGAGGACGGGCCTGTCTGGGGTTCGCAGCGTGACCGAGCACCTGTGCAGCTGCCCTCGGCCTCCCCGCCCCCACTTTGAGGGCCAGCAGATGTTCCCCCACCCCCGCCCTGCATCCCAGCGGAGAGCATCCCTGAGGGGTGGGGTGGGCAGAGCAGGCAGGGCTCCCCACTGCAGGCTGACTGTGGAGGTGCAGCGACCCCTGCTCAGGGCCACCCGCCCCCCTAGATGGCAAGGACGGTATTTCTAGGCACACAGGGAGAAGCAGGGAAGTGACTGGAAAGTCCCACCTCTTGGTCAGGAGCCTGGGAAATCACCTGGTCTCCAAAGGTGGGTGCTGGCCTGCGGAGGGTGCGGCTGGCACGGCCCAGAGCCGCGGCTCTGCCGAGAGGCAGCACCAGAGCCGGCGGGGAGATTTCTGGCTTCTCCAGGTCTTCCCGGGAGCAGAATGAGGCCTCCCTGATCCCTAAGAGAGAGGAGCAGGGGCAGGAGTCCTCCCGGATGTCCCCTGCAACACCTCCTCGCCTCCCTCCAACCACCCCGCCCACTTGGCCCTGCCGGTGAAGGGCACGGCGCAGCATGGCGGGGTCCTGCTGGAAGTGGCTCCGCAGCCGCCTGTTCTTTCTGTTGCTAACGACACAGCACCACTAGCACGTTAGGGCATCATGAAGAGGTCGGTCTGTCTCGGGGTGCTGGCGATCCGAGGCTGCAGGGCTGTCTCTGCTGGCAGAGACCCTAGGTGGTGCTGGGCGTCACAGGGCAGGAGCCAGGGAGGTGTGTGCTGTGTGCTGGCCTCCCTCCTCCTGCTCCTCCTCCTCTTTCATTTTATTTGAAAAGACAGTGAAAGAGAGACAGACAAGGAGAAAGAGAGAAACAGAGGCAGAGAGAGAGAGAGATCTTCTACTTGCTAGTTCATGTCCCAAATGTCTACAATAGCCAGGGCTTGAAAGACCAAAACTGGGAGTCAGGAACTTGGTCCAGGTCTCCCACATGGTGGCAGGAACCCAAGTACTTGGGCCGTCACTTGCTGCCTCCCAGGGTGCACATTAGCAGGCAGCTGGGATTGGAAGCAAAGGAGTGGAGACTCGAACCAGGCACTCTGACACAGCACGTGGGGGTCCCAAGCAGTGTCTTGCCTCATGCACCAAATGTCCACTCCCCTTTCTCTTTCTTCTTACAACACTGCCAGGATCCACCCATGGGGCTACACCTGATGACCTATTCTAACCCTCGTCACCTCCCCTAGGCCCCAGATGCAGGCACCAAGCTCCGATCACACTTCTACCCTCTTAATACCTCACAGTAAGGCTGAAACCCCAAAGAGAGCTTCGGGGCAAACCACATGTGAGCCATGAAAATCCCATCCTGGAAACTCCTTAGCGCTCCTAGCTCTCTTTTAAGTTTGTCAAATGAGACTCTTTTTCCCTTTCTCTAAAGAGTTACTTACTTACTTACTTATTTGACAGTTAGTGAGAGAGAGAGAGAGAGAGAGAGAAAGGTCTTCCTTCCATTGGTTCACCCCCCCAAATGGCCGCTACGACCGGCGCTGCACCGATCCGAAGCCAGGAGCCAGGTGCTTTCTCCTGGTCTCCCATATGGGTGCAGGGCCCAAACACCTGGGCCATCCTCCACTGCCTTCCTGGGCCACAGCAGAGAGCTGGACTGGAAGAGGAGCAACCGGGACTAGAACCTGGTGCCCATATAGGATGCCGGCACTGCAGGTGGAGGATTAGCCAAGTGAGCCATGGCACCGGCCCAAGAGTTACTTATTTATTTAAAGTCAGAGTTAGAGAGAGAGAGAGAGAGAGAGAATCTTCCATCTGCTGGTTCACTACCCAAATGGCCTCAATGGCCAGGGCTGGGCCAAACTGAAGCCAAGAACCAGGAGCTTCATCTGGGTTTCCCACATGGGTGGCAGGTGCCCAAGCAGTTGGGCCATTTTCTGCTGCATTTCCCAGGCCATTAGCAGGGAGCTGGATGGGAAGTGGAGCAGCCAGAACACCAACTGGCACCCATATTGGGTACTGGCTTCGCAGGCCGCAGCTTTACCTGTTTTGCCACAACGAAAAGTGGAGAGAGAAAGAGAAACAGAAAGAGAGCTTCCATCTGCTGGTTCACTCCCCAAATGCCTGCAACATTGAGGACTGGGCCAGGCCAAAGCCAGGAGCTGGGAACTCAATTCAGTTCTCTCAAGCACACACGCAGGAAGTCGGGACATGACACAGGTACTCAAACGCAATGCAGGCGCCCCTAGCAGCGGCTTGACCACACGTCCAGCCCAGAGCGCCAATCCCTTCTGTGGGGTGGGGCCACTCCCCTTCTCTGGCTGGGTGGCTCAGGCCTGAGGACAGGGTGACTTCCCATTTCCCATGGACAAGGGCACTTCTGGAGCCCTCCAGGATCAGGCCCGGGAGTGAGGGTCTGGGGAGAAAGGAGGTGCAGTGGGCTGTAGCAGACACTGTTGTCCCCTGCCTAGTGCTGGTTCCTCTGGGAGTCTGTCTCCGGCTCACCCTCTCTGGGGTACTTGAGTAGATTTCTTGGCGACCATGGCTCCCCAGCCCCGCTGTGGCTCCCATTTGAAGGGGGGGGGGTCTCCCAGCTGCTGCTGAGGCCCCCTCCCCCAACAGGAAGCACTTTGGGGTAGCGAAGAATCACAGCCGGCTTCCTCCCTGGGGTGCACGGGTTGCTGCCCTTTGCCCTGCTCAGCTCAGCTCACGTCCCTGGCTCTGTGTCTCCCTCCAGCAATGCCACCCGAGGCCCACCAGCCACAGGTCTTTGATGGGCCACCACTAGGCATGTCCACTCCACGGAGGGGGTGCCGAGGACCCCACAGTGGACCAAACAGACCCGACTCCCCCGTCAGTGTGCGGCCCCGACCTCCTGGGTCACAGAGCTCCCACATTGCCCCTCTCACCGCCTCCTGCTTGACCCAGCATAGAGGCAGCCACCCTCTCCCTCCCTCCAAGAGTGGCCCAGGGTCCACTGCTTCCCAGAACCCTCTCTCTTGCCTGCTCCAGTGTGGACAGCCTGTGTGGCCTGGGCGTGGACAATGGCAAATTCCGGCTGAACTCCTTTGTCTCTTAGCATGACCTGCAAGGGGGCTCAGGGCTTTCTCCTCAGGATGGGGGCTTGCTCTTGACACCCACCACGCTGTACCTGCCACTGGGGAATCTGGGAAAACTCAGCCCCAGAAAACTCACCATCTGCTAAAACTCACCATCTACATCACATGGCTCCTCCCCGGCCCCGCCCCACAGCCCGCTCTGCCGTGGTCGTGGCCGTGGCTGTGGCCGTCTCACTTGGCTTTGGGCTCTGCCCCTCTAAGGCCAGGGCCAGCCCTCAATAGCATGGTACTGATGCCTCTCCAGTAGTTCTCTGCTGGGGGGTTCTCCCCCCACCCCAGGGATATTTGGCAATGTCTGGAGACATTTTGGTTGTCACCATTGCAAGGCCAGGGCAAGGTGCTGCTGGCATCAGGCAAGGGGAGGAGGTGTCCGTCAAACATCCTGCAATGCACAGGTCAGCCCTGTGACAGAAGTATCCAGCCCTAAATGTCAGCAAGGCCAAGGTCGGGAGACTTGGTCCCAGCTCACGGCTCCCCATAGCCTTCAGAATCGAGTTCAGCCTCCTCGGCCAGGCACTGGAGGCTTCAGGCTCTGGCCCAGCCTGCAGCCGGGCAGGTCGGCACCACGACCCGGAAGTCCACACTCACCCCAGGCAGCTGGGGGGATGCTGAGCTGCTGCCTCCAAACCTGTGTGCACACAGCATCCTCTGCCCGGGGACCGTGTGCTTGTCCTTTCAGCCCCAGCCCCGCTGTCTACCCTCGGTGAAGCTGCCTTTACCACCGCCCATGAAGCTGACGCCCAGGGACGTGACTCTCACTCCCCGCTCGCTATCATGAGTTACGTGCATGCGGGGATCCTCCCTCCGTCACTGTGACGCCACAGCTATGGCAAGCCTGCCCTGGGCCCGCCCGATGGCTTACGTCTTGCCCTGGAGACGTAAGCCATCATTAGGACCCTCACACAGCTCATCAGGGCTTCGATGGGTCAAACCTGGTTTGGCTGCCTTCACAGCCAAGGAGCTCAGCTCAGCCGGACTGCGTCTCCCACTGCTAGTCCCCCCCGCCCAGGGCAGGGGACGAGGCCACGAGGTCCCCTCTGCCTCCCTGGCGAGCCACAGGGATACAGGAAATAGGAGCTAGGTCACGCTGACGTGAACACGACCTGGATGCAGGACGAAGTGTCTGCAGGCAGGCAAGACAGGGAAGCAGATGTGGGTGAGTGAGCGGATGAGTGTGAGGACGCCAGGCCCAGCCCCAAGGAGCCAGTGCAGCCCAATCCCTCCCATGCCCTGCGCCCGCAACCCAGACTTCCAAGCCTTGCATCTGTTAGGGCCCCAG